TTTCTCTGTCACTCATCTTCCTTTTGAATGCCCCCTGCGAATCCCCCTCCTCTCTTGCCTTGCTGATCCTTGTCTCTCCTGTCCCCTCCCCGCGCAGTCCCTCACTTTGACTCGAGGTTTTGCTGTCCCCCGCTTCTTCTTCTTCCTCTCTCCCTTTGCCTCCCTCCGCTGATTTCTCCGCCTCCTCCCTCGCTCTTTTGTTCTCTAAAAAGGCCATTTCCGCTTCTTGCCCCAGCTTATGCAGTTCGGCCGTGGTCTGCAAACGCTGTTTGTCATCCAGAACCGTGTCCTCGTCTATCATCGGTTTGTGGATGTATCCCACATCTTTGTCCTCCATACGCTTTGCCCCTGCAAGTCTCCAGCGGCTATCGTAAGGTGGGTAGATGTCTGGCTTCAGCGTGGGTGTACCTCTCAGGACCCATATCCATCTTGGCTTCTCCAGATTGTCGTCGAAGATCCAACCTCTGTATTGTGCTGAATTTATGTACCAAACCCCTGGCTTGTTGTCCGCCTCGACTAACATTGATTGTTTTAGTTGTGTCTGCCTCCCCCCCGAACCTGCGTTCGAACCAGTACTTGATTGTGGGCAATGCATTCCCAAGTGTCCTCTTGCTCTGCACTTGAAGCAGAATGGATTGGATTTAGAGGATATGAACACCGTGATGCGTTCCGTCCTTCTTCTGAAGATCCATACCTCGGGGAATTTCGGCRGCGCCCYGGATTTCACTTCCAGGCATGYGACCCTGGAATCGTGGTTTGGAGCCAGAAARTCGGGATTTGCCGGGAGCCACTCTATGATGGGGTTATTTGGGTATTCTTCCTTCAGGCGCTGCTGCACGAGGCTGTGCATCCCTTCTGAGAGGTTGTCAAACTGCACCCAGAAGTTGTTCCTCATCATTGACTGCCTGTGCCTTGAAGCCTCCGCTGGTGGCGGCTGTGGTGGTTTCCATGCTTGGATCGTCACCAAATTTATACCCGAAATAAGTGTGTGGGTAACAGGGGTACAGTTGTAATGGTATACATCATGTTATTCTATTTCCCACAACACAATATTTGTTCCCTATTTGTAAATGTCCATTCTAAGAAGTGGGGAACATCTTAATATGTCGATGGTAAGGACGGAGGAGCACACAAGAACTGGGTAACAACAGTAGGGAGCAGGGTGAGGCAATTGTGGCTCTACAAGGTAGTGAGAAGGAGGGTGAGGCAGTTGTGGGTCGATGAGGTAGTGGAGAGGAATGTGAAGCACCATGTATGGGACAGTTGAGGCAGTTGTGATTCAATGAGGTAGTGGAGAGGAGTGTGAAGCAGCATGTATGAGACAGTTGTATATGCTGGAAAGAGAACAGAGAGGAATTCCTCTGAACCTTAATCATAACAACTTGCAGATGCTCAGTGAGCAGGGAAACTCTGAGCTGGGAGCAGAGTGAGGCAGCTTTGGGTGTTTGTTTGATTGGAAAGGAGAAAATGCAGAGCTGTGAATACAGAACAGAATCGATGGTGTTGGGAATGACATCTTGTCTCTGTTGAGAATCAGAAGCAGTGAGAAGTGAGTGCAGTTTGTGTCTCCATCAGGAAAATACGGCTCAATCAGAGTGGCAAAGTAAGACAACTTGTCAAGATGTGATCACAAAGCATCACAATCCCACACAGGATCACCGGTGAACTACATAAGTGACGACCTGTTGTGGATGTAGATCAGTTGCATTTCACTTGTCTCAAACAACTGGTACCTCTGCCGGTTGGGAAAATAGTGAGGCCTCGGGTGGGCCTCCTATCTTTTAGGAGGCTGAATCGAAACGATGGCCGCTAATGAGATTTATCAATGGCGGCTGTCGTCGGGCCCTGCCCCCGACGCTAAAACTGCCAGTTTTGCCTATTTTCCCAACACTGGTGGAGGTACTAGTGCTTTAAGATAAAGCTTCATGTTCTGCGTAGCCCAGTAAAGGTTAATAATAAGATAAAAAACATTATGTTCTGCATGGGTCACATGTGCTCTATTCGGTTTGATCCAGGCAAGAGAGAAAATTCACATGTACTAATAAAATAACAATAGAGTATCACTTCAATTTAGTCAAAAAAGCAAATTCATTCCATCTAATAGAAAATCACAGTATCAATTTAGTATGTTTGTATTCATAAATACATATTCTAGATGTAGATTTTGTTTCATCTCACCATGTTGCTTTGTCTCGTCTTTTCTGGCTTCAGGTCAAACTTGCTGAAACTGATGCATGGCTATCTCTTGGGCTAATGTTTCACCTCAGCATCCTCCCTCTCACACGTCAACTCACATGCTTGAGTGGGAACTTGTGGAGCAAGACCCTTCAGGTAAGTTTCTGAAGCTGTACCATATGACTAAAATCATAGTAAAATGGCATTTTTTTTGTTTTCGTTTTTGCTCTTCTTTCTCTTTGCCTAACGTCTATAAAGCTTGTGCAATGTGACCAAGCACAAAGACCCTCCGGGTGAGTTTCTGAAGCTGGGGCATGTAACCTCATTTTTCATTTTCCCCTGAGAAACAAGTTTTGCGCCTGGTCCTGTGGCACATATAAAATAGAAATGATAGTACGCTAAGTACTGAGATTATCATGGTTTATTGTAGGCCTGTTTTTAACTGTTCTCAGGGACTTCAATCTCCGTGGTTTTTTTTTGCATCAGTTGAGTGGTGTCCCCTCTCTGAATATGGGACCATCTTCTTTGAATTGCTGGTGTAGGATCTTTTGTCTTAGGTATAGCATGTAGCCCAAGTCTACAGAGTACGTGGATATGGGGATGGGAGATTTATCCTGTCTTCCTGTTTTAGGTTGTTAAGCTGAGTGGGGATCCGGGCCGCCCGGGTGACTTGCAGGGGCCCAGGGGAGGTCCCGGGCGGCCTGGCCGGGCAGGGCGCCCGGTTGGGGGCCGGGCCCACCCAGCGCACTCACCTGTCGGGGGATTTCGGACCCCCTTTTGGACCCCCTTTGTGTGTGTGTGTGTGTGTGTGTGTGTCGGGGGATTTCGGACCCCCTTTCGGACCCCCTTTGTGTGTGTGTGCGAGAGAGAGAGAGAGAGAGAGAGAGAGAGAGAGAGAGAGAGAGAGAGAGAGAGACGTGTTCGAATCATACTTGCAGAGAATCTCATGCGTGGGTTGCCGCACACGCATGCAAAAGCAGAAAAACAAAAATGTCCTAGTTGTGTCCAGCCTCTTTTCGGAAGGACCCCTACAGCATATTAGCTAGGACCCGACGTCATGCAGAGACACACTTTAAACTTGTACTTCCTGAGCGGGGCCAGAGAATATATAGTCTGGATTCCAATTCAGGTCTGTGCATGTTGGTTATGGGTCACTATTTCTCTGTTTTCTCGCTTTTCTTTTCTTTTCTCGTTTTTCTTTTCTTAGGAATACGTGCAGTGGCCCTAAGGGCCTTTACTCACCAAATGCACAAAAGACAACATATGGTGGCGTATTATTCCACGTTCTGCAGAAGATTCATTCTAATTTTGCACATTTCGTGAGTAGTGCAGCCAAGCCCTAAGAGTCACGTGCAGAGACCAACAGGGCCTAGCTATGTGAGCAACCCATAACTGCTGAAACACAGACCTGAATTCAAATCTTGAGCATATGTTCGGCCAGCTCGCACTCTATTTTATATTCATTGCCTGCCTCAATTTTGGTGGGGGGGTCTGCACTACATGTCTGTGAGGACCCTTCAGATAGCCTGCATGGGCCGTCTGAGCCGTGTTAAGGGGATCCGTTCTCTCTCTCTCTCTCTCTCTCTCTCTCTCTCTCTCTC